GGTGGTGCTGATTCATCGCTTACCGGGAGCAATGATTCTGACTTTGCTTCACACACTTCACTGACCCCAGACTTAGTACCCTCATCAGTGTTTGACTGCAACTTTGGAAAGATGGTGACAAAACTGAGGTGTTTTCTGGTAATTCAGTCAAAAAGACATGATTTCAAATCTCCTAGACTTTGAGTGATTCTCAGCAAAGCTCAGGTGCCTATCTCTAACATTTTTAAGGGGGTTTGAGGAAGGTGTACTTCTGCAGTCCCTCTTTCAGCGATCCAAAGGTCCAGTTTTGAAGATACCATCTATCTGTTATCTATATTAAGGCATCACCATGGCTTTGAGGGAAAAAAATATAAAAGACTGAGTGAAGATGGGTTGAAAAAGATCAAGATAAATTCCGTGAGTTTTTCATTTGAGCAGGCCTGGGAGAGGATTCTATATATTTGACTTGGGCTCACTGCAATAGCCCAGGAGTGTATATATATAGATATATGACTTGGGCTCACTGCAATAGCCCAGGAGTGTATATATATATATATGTATATGCCTGTGTGCTCACAGCCGGCCCTTGTGGGGAAAAGACCCTAGCTGAGGGAGGACGGTGGCAGCGGGGTTGCAGCCTTGCTCTTTGTGTCAGGAGAAACACCGCAGTCTTCACAGCTTCTTCACATTTGCTCCCCGGAGACGCAACCACATAGTTGGTTAGGTGCTATTTCTGGGCACACTGCTCAGGTGCCAGAAATGCTTGCCAGGCAGTCAGGGACCTCCATTGAACAGAAGCTCTGGTGTGTACACCGTGCCAGGGAACGTAGCTATCAGCATAGCAAATTTAACCTGCATATCTACTTAGAACATAATCCTGAAAGGACGGGATGCAACGAAGGTAAGGTCTAACTCAGGAAAGGAAAAACAACTGTCCACGTGATGCATGAGCGAGAGTGAGGGGAGCCGTGGAAGAGGCACTGGCAAGGGAGCAGAGACACCAGAGGGCACCTTTATCAAGGGGAGTGATTCTCAACAGGATCTGTACACGAGTCACCTGAGGATCTTTAAACAAACCACCCCACACCCAATTATATATATATATATAAGCCTTATTATGGAAACCAGGTATCAGTATTTTTTAAGCCCCCAGTGTGGTTTCAGTCCAGCCAGGGCTAATAACCACTGCTTTTATGGCCAACTAAAAAGCACTCATTGTCTACTTGGCTCTCTGGAGTCAAGGAAGACAAGATGTAGGAGATAACGCCTTGGAGGGGGTTGATATTTGCTCTGTGTCTCACAAAGATATGTGTGTGCAGATTTCTGCCAGTCTCATATTAACTCAAGAACTGTGCTATTCTCCTATGTCACTTGCCCATTCATTGTTGCAATTTAAACATCAAGGTGTTTGTCTTACACCTGTGATATCACAAGATATGAGATATAGCTCAATAAATACCACAACATGTAAAACTCAACGGGATTCTCAATAGTTGGACAGTTGTCACTCAAAACAAGCATTTACCAAATCAGGTCCAAATGTATTATTCACTCTTCTTTTGGAGGCTATCTGGGTACCAGGTACCTGTTCTGAGAGAGGTGTATCTTATTAAAGTTTGTCTCAGCAAGAAGGGAAAATAAACTGTTCCTATTTGATTGTTGTCTCGGCTCCAAGGTCACTGTAATTTACTTTCTTAGTTACTGGACATATGCATAAAGGGAAAACGAATGTCTGTGACTGACCTCCAGTGTCGTGAAAGAGGGAGAGTCCAGCGTGGCAGAAGCAGTAGGACAGTGAGAAAGCAGCTCAGTGAGCGCCTCCCACCTGCTTCCCTTCTGTAACAGCGCACCGTTCTCAACCACGAAGCCAGAAAATAAACTCAGTGGTGGTTTGGGGGAATTGTACACAGGATCAAAATCTCTAGTAACTTATGATTTTTAGTACTTCATTATGTGATGTTTTATTCTAGGAAAATAAGAAACAGATGAGTCATTGATGTATCTTTCATCTTCAGAAATTTTGCATCTTTTCAGAAAATAACAAATTACTATTTTTCTGTTGCATTCAGCAATTGTGACTATATTGAACAAGATTATTGCAGTCTGTAGAAATATCAATAAAGTTGTATATGTTTGTACATAGATGCTTTCTTATGTCATGATGTCATGCACTGCTGCTGTTTGCTGAGGAGATGAAATGTGGACAGAGGTAAGACTTGGCTCCAGCACTGACAACTAGGATTTTTCACAGCGCCATGTTTTAAAGGAGGGAGAGGGAGGGAGGAGCGAAGGGCAGCTTATTTGTTTGAACTTTTAACACAGGGGAGGGGGCACCTAGACACAGGTTAACAAATCCTTAGGTTTTACTGCCGTTGTTTGAGGGAACGGTCCAGTCCATTCTGACGCTAGTGACCCGTCGGACAGAGTAGTGCTGCCCCGCTGTCGTCCTCCGGCGAGGAACTGGTGGCTCAGTGGACGGCGATCCACAAGGTCAACCGCTAGGAACCACCCCTGCCCCATCGGAGAAAAAGGAGGCTTTCTGCGCTCATGCAGAGTTACAGGGCAGTTCTGCTCTGTCCTGTGAGTCGGCATTGACTGGATGGCAGTGAGTTTTGGGTTTGAGTCTTGAGCAGATCACCAGGTCTTGTCTCCTGCGGAGCCACTGGTGGGTTTGAACCACAGACATTCAGATAGGGCTTAGTGATTGAGTTGTTTCGTGCTTAGCAGTCAAGTATTTTTAATTTTACTAGATTTTGTTAATTAGGAATACTAAGTCATTCAAAATTTCCTTCAAATTGGGGTGGATATTATATTGAATGTTGATTGATTCTCATCTTAAGTGAAGAACAGATCAAAATATATTTGGTGAAGGTTTTTGTATGAGAAATTGAGGTGAAATAAGATGTTCCTACAAATTTAACATACTTTTTCAATGGACTCTAGCCTAGCCACATTACACTATTATGGGTTTATGCTCACCCACTCACCCACCCACCCACTCACTCACCCAATACCTAGGAAACTCCTCGAGGAAGAATGTGCTCTGCTCTGTTCATCTATCTCTAGAATTGGCCTTAAGCTACCATCTTTATTCTTCTGAACCAAGTCTGCTCAGGAAAAATCCCCACCCCCATCATCAATTTCCCTCCTAGTTTTAGTTCTCTAGGAAAAAAATTAAAAGCTACTAACGAACCCTAAGCTTCAAAATACCTCCCAATTAAAAGTACAAGCATATATATTCTTTAAAATCCAAACGCCCAGTCCGTTGTTTCAGAATGTTCTCCCTCCCTTCCTTTCCATTCAGCCCACCAGTTGCGAGCACTTCCACTTCCAGACAGGTTGGCCTTGGCCACTCTGGGTAAGGATGCCTCAGGGGCAGTGCGGGCCAGGCCACAGGAGGGTGGAGCAGTGATGGTGGCCTGTGTAAGGTGGACATTGGAGCAGGGCAGACTTGGAATGGAGGGTCAGGACATGTCTCCAACTCTGAAAAAATACATGTCAGTCATAAAGAAAAAATATGATATACACAGGGGCAAGCTAGCAGACACCATTGCAATCAAGTGATCAAAGCCAATCAAAGTCCACACCGTAGCCATAGGACTGATGAGTGTCCTTATTGATTTCTTCTTGGATATCTCTGCCAAAAATGCATCATCTGGGTTTACCAGAAGGGGGAAAAATGAATACTTTGGACAAAACCAAATTGAGAGATTTTCTATAAAATGATAGGCCTGTATTCTTCAAAAATGTCAAGATCATGAAAGTCTAGGAAAGATGGATATTCCAGACTTTAGGAGACCAGAGAGAAATGCACTGGGTGCAACTTGTACCCTTTGATTGGCGTCGTTTGTAATAAATGACGTAGTTGGAGTGATTGGGAACACATGAGCGTAGTTTTCCACATAAGTAGGATTCTTTGTACTGTTGTTAAAACTCTCGAGTTTGAAATTGTTTCAAAATTTACCAAAAATAGTTTCAACTCCTTTGAATGACTTTCATTTCCATGACGCAGTCATCAATCTAATAGCAAACGGTCAGTCACTGAAGGGTGGAGAGATAAATGGCTCACTGAGCCTCAACTTTCTAGTTCTCAGGTCTCTTGCTTTGTAATGGTCAGATCAAGGTGCAGCTGCCTTACCAGTTCCCTGCTTCAGCTGGCAAGACTCACTTCCTGCAAGACATGCCACATGGACCTACCCCGATGCAGCCCTGGGTGCTGGGTGTGGAGACCCCTACCAGCGGTGAGATGCTTACACATTCACTGATTCGGCTTTCCTCCTGTAGTCGGCATCATTGTGTGTGTTTTGTGAAATGGAGGACTTTGTGGATTGGTGTTGGACATATGGGTTAATGGGTTGATGTTGGACTTGTGGGCTTGGGAAGCACTGGGTTGGGATGTTTTCTTGATGTGCACTTACCCTTTATATAAAACTCTCTCTTATACATCAGTTTCTGTGGATTTGTTTTTCTAAAGTACCTAGACTAATAGTGTGTAATGTGGCACTTTATAGAAGTAGGCTGGGCCCCACCTGAAATTTGCTTCAGATGTTGCGACTTACGATACAGACCAAGAAAACAAGAAAAGGTTTATTTCTCATGTAATAAGGCTTTCTGGGGCAAGCAGGGTGGCTTACAAGCTAATCCAAATGTTTGAGAGAAGGAAGAGCCTGGTTTGGAGAAAGGGTGGGCTGGGCAAAAGCTCTCTAGTGGGGAAGAAGTTTGCATGGTTTAACCTCTTGCCAATTACAGAGAGGCCCAGGCTCTCTTAGCTTCCCAGATGTGAAGCAGAAGAGGGCATAGTTTGGCTTTAAAGTTGTGAACAATTAACCCAGCAAAATATGGAAGTTTTTATTACTGACCTTTAATATAACTCTGGAAATTCGTGTTTCTTTTCTATAACTTCTTTTTCCTTGCTTTGGGGTCCTCTTCTCAAAGGTCATTTGGATATGCTGCGCAGGGTCCACGAGAATTCCCTCTGCAAGAGTAAGACAAGAGCCTTTTCCAGTTCACACACGATTGGGTTTCCACGTGTTTGTGTGACATGTGCCTCCCTTAAACCTTGTTAGGACGCCGCCACGTTACCCGTCTCTCTCTCTCTGATCAGACGGCTGCAGACAAGCTCACTTGTCTCGGCCTCATTAGGGGGTCTTCAAAATGGAGCCACTCCACCAGTGGCTTGCAAAGGGATCTGCCAGGCCAGATAAGCTCAAGGCAGGAGGGAGGTTCGCTTAGAAGATGATGGCGACTCCATTTTGGGTTTCCAAAGATTAATCCTGATATTCTCAAAGGAGATAGAACAATCACAGGAGCTTATGATGACATTTCAGAGAACTTGAAAATGGAATTGGTGAGAAAATGGACAGGAAAATCATGTTAAGGACATTTTTTCCCATCAAGATGATACTTTTCATCGTGACAATATACCTGTCCTTCCAGAATTTCCTTGGGAGACATTACTCCTGGCCCCTTCCCCTCCACCCCCCACCCCCCCCCACCCTATTCTGAGGGTGCCCTTCAGATTTGTTCCCCAAACTCAAAGAACATTGAAAAGGAACATGATTGGAGCCCCTCAATGATGCCCGTACTGCCATGTGAATGTGGTGTAAATCAAAGAGCACAGAATTTTGGGGCGGGAAGGGTTAGAGGGGTGGAAACACCACCTCCACAAGTATATAGACATTGATGAGGGCTAGGTTGACAAATAAGAACTTCACATTTTGATAATTTTGTTTTAAAGGGTTTCTATGATTTGGTAGCAATTATTTTTTACTTACTTTCATGTAACAGCGGCTGCTTTGTCCACTTGCCCACCTTGCCCTGACAGGTGTCGTGAGGCCATTGGTGAGTGGAGGAACTCTCTTGTATAGGTCAGGGTCCTGTGGTTCTCGCTGTAGCTTGCCTCCCCTCAGCAGTGTATCCCTCGTAAACTCTCTCTTGCCCTGCCTCCTATCCACTAAACTGTTCATCCTGCAACCTCTGTAGTTCATAGCCCATCCCTGACTCCCACCCCCACCCCCACTGCTGCTTAGCCCTGCGGTAAGCCCCAGGTATTCTCTTCACTCCTAGCATCTACATTACCCTCAGGCAAGGGGAAGTGTCTGGATTTTGTTAGGCCTCTTGAATCAGTTCCGACTCACGGAGCCCCTATGCACAGCAGAACGGAATGCTCAGTCCCGTTACATTGCACATTTGCTTAGAGTCCATTGTTGAGCCACTGTATCCATCTCCTTGCGGGCCTTCCTCTGTTTTTGTTAACCTTTTACTGAGCATAGTGTCATTCTCCAGGGACTGGTCTCTTCTGATGACTTTTCCAAAGTCTAGCCTATCTTTGCTTCCTGGCTGTACTTCTTTCAAAAGAGATCTGTTTGTCCTTTTGGCAGTCCACGAGTTTCAATATCCTTTACCAATACCATAATTCAAATGCATCAATTCTTCTTGGGTCTTTATTGTCCAGCTTTCACATGAATATGATTGAAAATACCATGGCTTGGGCTAGGTTCGCGGTATTAGTCCTCAAAGTGACGTCTCTGACATTTTAAAGAGGTCTTGTGCAATAGATTTCCCTAAGCGATACACTGCTCAGTTTTTCTTTTCTTGGGGGCTCTTACAGCTATCAAAATCCATACATATATCCATTTTGTCAAACACCTCTTTACATATGTTGTCGTTTTCAAAACATTTTTTCTACTTGAGTCCATGGCATCAGCTTCTTTTTCCCACTCTCTCCCTCTCCCATGCCCCCTTGATTATTTGACCCACTTTTCTGCTGTCCACCCCTGAGATGGGGGCCATACGTTGATCATTGTGATCAGTTCCCCCTTACTCCCTCTCCCGATCCTTACCCTCCTAGTATTGCTGTTCCCTTTATTGGTACTGAGGGATTTATCTGTTCTGGATTCCCTGTATTTCGAGCTTTTATCTATCTGTACCAGTACACATATTCTGGTCTAGTCAGATTGGTAAGATAGAATTGGGTCATGGTATTGGAGGGCGAGGAAGCATGTTTCATCCATGCTATTCTGCACCCTGACTGGCTCTTCTCTTCCTTGTGGCCATTCTGACAGGGGGTGTTCAACTGACTACTCATGGGCTTTGGATCTTCATTCTACACTCCCCCTCATTCACGATATGATTTTTTTTATTTGGGGTCTTTGATGCCTGATACCTGATCCTATCGACACCTCGTGGTCATACAGGCTGGTGTGCTTCTTCCATGCTTGATTCTCAGCTAGATGACTGCTTGTTTATCTTCAAGCCTTTAAGACCCAAGACGCTGTATTTTTTGATAGTTGGGCACCATTAGCTTTCTTCGCCACATTTGCTTATGCACCCATTTTGTCTTCAGCGAACGTGTCAGGGAGGGTGAACATCACAGAGTGCCATGTTAGCAGAAAAAATTGTTCTTGCGTTGAGGGAGTACTTGAGTGGAGGCCCAATGTCCATCTGCTGCTGTAATACTTTACATATGTACATAGCTCTATTCCCGTCATTGTATGTATGTGTATATATATATATATATATCTGTATTTAAACCTCTGTAACTGTCCTAACTTCTGCTTCCATGATTGTTTATTGTGGATCCAAATAACATGAAAATCTAATAACCTCAATCCTTTATTTATCATGATGTTGTTTATTGGTCAAGTTGTGTGAATTTTTGTTTTCTTGACATTGAGTTGTAATCCATTCTGTAGGCTGCAGTCTTTGACTTTCATCACCAAGTGCTTCCATGCTGCCACACAGGAGCTGAGATGGCTCAGAACACGCTTGGTCCTCCTCCTGCCTAGCCTATACTTTCATTCTTTGGCAGGGATTGTTCCCTTCTGTTAACATATCCAAAATAAGTGAGACAACGTCTCATCACCCTCCCTTATAAGGAGCATTCTAGCTTTTCTTCCAAGACAGACAAGAATGAAGAACTGATGACTTTAAATTATGGTGCTAATGGAGAACAATGAATTTAAAATAGACTCCTAGAACAAACAAACCTATCTTGGAAGAAATCTATTTTATGCCCAACAGGACATGGATAAAATCTGAAAACCCAAACCAAGTGCCGCCAAGTAGATTCTGATTCACAGCGACCCTGTCCAGAGTAGAACTATCTCTTGAGTTTCCAAGTCTGTAAATATTTGTTGTTCTTGTTAGGTGCCATCAAGTTGGTCCCAGCCCATAAAGACGCTGTGCACAAAACAAAACACTGCACGGTCTTGCGCCATCCTAACAACTGTTCCTGTGCCGGAGCCCAGTGTTGCAGCCACTGTGTCGATCCATCTTTTTCTCTGCCCCTCCACTCTAGAACCCTCCTAGATAGCTATGTTGAGCTTCCGCTTGTGTGAGTTCTCAAACTCCTAGAATACTGACAGCACTACACTAGTTTTTCTGAGAGGCATGATAAAGGTAAAAATATGGTAAAACCCCCAGAAATGATGATAGAACTTTCCTCTTCCCTCTGTCATCTTCTGCCCAGCAACAAAAAATAAGAAATAAAATAATAAAATACTACTATAGCTACTGAGAGCCCTGTGTAATAATATTCAACTACTGATGTGGTATTATACTTTATTTAGAAAGCAAGTCTCTTCTTTACTCTGATGAAAAACCCTTAAGTGTTCTTCTGAAAACTGATTCTGAATGTGCACTTTCAATATGCTCAGACATCCCTGTACAAGCTGACAAATAAGAGGCGGTGGTTTCTGGTCGTCTTAGACCTGATATAATTAAAGAAAAAACTGAACTGGTGAAGTAAAGCTTCTCAGAAATTCATTTTATTTCAATAGCAGAAAGGTCAATTCTCCACTTTGAGTGGGTTTACAAAGTACAGTCTTCTCATCCTGGTTACTCTCTTCATGCCACGAACACAAGAGAGAGACAGAGAGAGGTGTGTGAAGGACTGACAAGGGGTACCCTTTCTGGCTGCATTTTTATTAAATTACAATGAAAACATCTGTTCTGAAAGAAACAGCTGCCTCTTGAAGAGGTCTAGTGTATTTTATACTATGTAAGTGTCCCAAATGCTTTCACAGTAGGACCGATGGACAGAAAGGTAAAAAGAAACAACATTCACTCTGAGACACAATCCACATCAAACCTTACCATTCACAGAATGCATAATACATTTTCTGACACGGTTTTAACCTACTACTCCAGCAGACGCTCAGAGAAAAATCACCAAAGGCCTGCGTCCTTGCTGCCCAGAGCTCCCGCGGCCCTAGAGCTCAGGGCCTGGGGGCCTGGTGACGTGGGAGATGGGCCAGAGATGCCGGGCAGCAGCTCTGCTTTCTTCACGCTCAACCCGGACAAAGACCCAAAGTGCTAAGTGCATATTTCAAGCTTGTTTTCTGAACTGGCTTAAAGCCCCAGTAAACAGGAAAAGGTAATTTCATAAATGCTCTTTCAGAGTGAGTACAATCAATAACCTTGCTTATTTTGACACTTAAAAAAATAGTTGTGCTAATGGTTTTTTACACTACCAAAAGTGAACCCTCAGATTCATTTTGAAAGCCTCCCTTTTAAATTCATAACCCAAATCTATCCAGACTTGATGGTTTCAGTTTTCACAAAGTACACGACAGGGCAAACTCGATTCTTCACGCGGGACGGGATCTTGCGGCTTCCCTGTGCAGACCGACTCCGGGCGCCATCATACATCGAAGTCCTTCAGCTCCCCCCAGCTGGCACCTATTTTCACCTTCACCCTCAGCTGCACAGAAAGTTTTACAGCATTTTCCATTTCAGTCTTGACAATCTGAGCTACCTACAGAATAACATGCATCAGGTTAACAAACGGTCCAACCCAAGGGGATGCTCCCCAACCCACCCACCTGAGAAAGGGGTCAGTCAGACTGGGGCATAAAATCTGAAAAGAGCCAGGCATCCCCCACTCTGGTCTCTGTCAATGGGCAGGAGTTGCCTCCTGTTTTAGCTCGAATGCTTGGAGCATTGAAACTCTTAGGTCAAGGGTCCAAATTCCCATTTCACTTCTCCCAGACAAAAGCATCTCTGGCACCAGGAATTCCTTTACTTTCAGAATGAGCAAGGGAGTAAGCACTTGTAGCTCCTCTTAGCTGTCAAGATTCAACATTCATTGAGCCATCCTGGAGCTGGGGTAGGGTCTAGGAGGTTTCCGACATAGGACAGAAAGTTGCCTGCCTGCCTGCCTTACACCATCTTAGCTTCCTGTGGAATGGACACACACTGGAAACATACCTGAACCACATCCTCTTCTGCCACTTCGTATAAGAGTTCATCGTGGAGCTGAAGGATGAAGAAGCCTCCGCGGATCGGGCAGAACATCCCTTGCAGTCTTCTCTTTGGTAACAGCCCTGCCCACGGACAAGAAGCAAAACGCTCAGCATGTGCCTCTTTCGTAGGAGACATTCTCAGAGATTCGGGGAAACTCTAGGAAATGCCAACAAAGAGGTTAACCCATTTAAGACTAACCGCACATTAACCACCTAGTGGCTGATGCCCAGCCCACGCCTGAGGGAAGTGCGAACCGCCATCAGTTCCTCCCAGAATGGAGGCGGCACATGGAGAACAAAGAGTTCTATCGCCAACTCCAGCCTAGCTTTCTTCTGAAATGCATCTTGCCATCTTAACCACCATTTTACCTCCTCTTTCTCAGTCTCTGAGTAATAGCCCCAGAGCAATGCAGAGCCTGCTTCCTGGTCCAAGAAGTATTTGTATTGTCATTAGGCATATTTGATAAGGGGGGCACTTGCTGGTGTCCTTTTATGGCCGGAAGTATCACTTTGGCAGGACTGGTCCTTCACCAAGCAATTCTAAAGTGAGGGCCCAAAGCAAGAGTCTATGTGTGTATGATTTCTGTGGCGATAATCCATACCTTTCAGTAGATTCTCCACAGAACCACTGCAATGTACTTGATGATCATTTCCTAATTAGCTGGGCCTACTCGACAGATTAAGAGCCACTGATAACACAGATAAAGTTCAATACAAATGTCTTCTTGTGTGCCCCTGTACTAGTTCTTCCTCCCTGCCATCCAGCTTGCCTGCTTATCCTTCAGACCCAGCTCTGGTACCATCTCCGTCTCCCTCAGGGTCTGGAATTCCCTCAGGGAGAAGGCTTTTGCACAGCACCGTGTGAAGAAGCCAAGTTTGTTCAGAGGTGGCGCTCACACGAGAACAAAGACAGATGAGGTCAGGACAAGATAGGGTCAGACAGGTCTAGAAGCCTATACACCTCTTTACCTGTCTGGCTGAAACCTGCCCCATTGGGTCCCACCTAGCCCACCTCCCTGACTGCCTGGATGCACTAGCTTTCCCGACCCCTGATGATCACATCGTTGACCTCTTGACCCCTTTGGTGACCTAGCTTCTGACCTATAAGGTCTTGAACCCCCTGTGCCTTGCTTGTATGGTACAAGCTCACCTTCATGCAGTCCCCCTGGCAGGTTTAACAATCTCGGTGGTGGCAAAACAGAATTTAAAGAGGAAGTATGGAGATTTGGCACACAGGGAAGAAACGAGATTTCTGTGTACATGTTACAATAAGAAGTGATACATCCAAGCAGTATGGAAAGAACATGGAAATGGCATTTTGAAAAAAAGAAAACAAACAGCAATATAGGCCAAGAAACGTGGGTGGCAAGGTCAACCAGGAGACTATGCCTCAACTTCTGAGAACACTGTGCGTGATGAAAACAAAACACAACCTGTCTGACCCCATTTCTTCATGACCCCACAACTCAGAGGATCCTGGGGGCCTGAGAGGTGATTTCCCTGCTTCACTCTAATTCTCTTATAAGTGCACGAGAGTTTGTCAACTCTCCTAGATTTAGCACTAAAAACCCCATATCATGAGGTTTCAAACCCGGGAAAAGGAAATAGTGTCATTAAAATGTGTTATTTAAGTTACTATATAAGGAGTTAATTTTATTTTAACATGTCAATAAATAGTTGTAAGTTTTCTTGGTTTCTACTTCTAATATAGTGCGTATGGTAAATAACTCACAGAAACAGTTGCTCTTAAAAAGAAATTCATTGCCATCACGTCCATTACGACTCAGGGAACCCCCATAGAGCAAGCAGTTCTACATGCAGCGCTCCTCCAGGACCCACTGGGGCCCTTTTGGGTTTTTTTTTTAATCGTTTTATTAGTGGCTCATACAACTCTTAACACAATCCGTACATACATCAATTGTGTAAAGCATATTTGTACATTCATTGCCCTCATCATTCTCAAAAGATTTGCTCTCCACTTAAGCTCCCGGCATCAGCTCATTTTTCCCCTCCCTCCCCACTTACCCCTCCCTCATGAACCCTTGATAATTTACAAATTATTTTGTCATATCTTTCCCTGTCTGTCATTCTCAAGACATTTGCTCTCCCACCCAAGCTCCTGGCATCAGCTCATTTTCCCCCCTCTCTCTCCACTTCCCCCTCCCTCATGAACCCTTGATAATTTACAAATTTTTATTTTGTCAAATCTT